TATTACCTTGCTTGTCAAGGTCTCTCTAGGTCTAAAATCTTTGCTTACACAAGCCATGGTCTTCCTGTGATATGACATCATTCTCCACACAGTAATCAAAATCCTTGTCGCTGACAATTTCACCCTTTCCATCATGCATCGAATGTCTTTTCACAACGGATATCAAATCGCCAACATATTAAATCCTCTAGATCTACTGGTAATGGCAAGATTGGACATAGCTACTGCCCTCAAAAACCTCAATGATATTTGTGCTTATCTTCCATCTGCATTAGAAAGACAAACTCGGCATATCATCTATATCTTTTGCGCTTTATTGCCACTTCCAACATTGGCAGATCTACTTGAAAACCTCAAATCTTGATGATGGGGTGGATATAAACAATTTGTATGGAGATGTACCGACCATAATATTAGACACCATGTGTTGAATAGTGGGACTGAGCCATACGTGTGCTTCAACATTGCAACGGATAATGCGACTACCCCGCCGTGCCCTGCAGGTATGTCTGCATATTTCGTCCCTCACACTGTACACATATCCACTGATCACTGGCACTGAGTAGGAAACGACAACCTTAAGAGTACAAAGCCTAAGCAGAAAATTGTGGACGTTGAAAGAGGTGAGGCGAAGAAAGTTCGTGCTTAAATGTAATCAGTTCAGGTAACTAGCAGGATTCTCTTAAAGGCATGTATGTATGATTATAGCGGTGTATGATTATTTTCAAAGTGTGCCTCACATAAATTGGATTCTACAAATTTGGGATGGGGATGAACACCGCTTAAGCAAGGTATGATAGTCATCGACTGACGACTGCTAGTTAATAAGAGAATTAATGCACATTTGCCGCTATTCTAAAGTGTCATGTGATCTACCCTGTACAATCATTTATACACTGTTTATAAATGGTTTCGCAACCATTTCCATTTAGTTTGGACCTGAGCATAAATGAAAACTAAACGGTTGGAGCCCTAATGTAGATGATCCTGGGACAGCGAGATAGTCACATGTCATAGCAGATAGGACCATTTTCAGCAGTGAAAATAGTTCGAGGTCCAGCAGGTTTGGACCAGATCTGAACCTGGTCTGCAATTTTCACCTCAGTCGAACCCTGAACCTGGACCTAGGTGGCTATGCCAGACCTGGACCTGGACCGAACCTGAACCTGCAGGTCCGGTTCAGGTTCAGACCTGGTCCACAAGGACCTGAACCGGACCCCGGCCAGACTAGGTGTTAAGCACTAACTCTAATCTGAGCCAAGGCTGGTCTCTATCCTGTCACTCGCATTTGGTGATTCAGTATTAGAGAGGCATTGGTAGATTGCAAGAAGTTAGGCTTCCCTTATAGCAAAAGCAAGGAGCTTGTAAGAGTTAGGAGTATATAACCTTAGCTGAAGCTGGGGTCTAAAGCCACAGCGTAGGCTAGCTTAAATACATGTTAAACTCGTACTAAGAATAGTACCTACAAGGGCGTGTGCAGTGAGAAGTGCGCCTTTCAACAAATGAGAAGTGAGGACACTAAAAGAAGTGCACTCCCGATGAATGAGAGTAAAGAGTGCATATCACCTGCATCTGCATGGGACTCTGTCTGAATAGGCTGCATCCCGTAGACCACCCTTGACTAGTGTTCGACTCCTGTCCAACTACTAAGAAGCATGATGCCATCAAGAGAAGCATGATGGTGCATGCAGATCGTCGGTCATCCAGGATGCGGCAGCTGTGAACTGGGGTGACAGGCAACCAAGTAAACGGGTAAGGAGTGTGCTGGTGGAATATCATGGGTCTGAGAGATAAGATAGGTAGGTCTGGGGTTCTGAGGGATAAGGATAAGATAAGATAAGAAAAATAGGGGTAAAGTTGTAATACTAGGCTTGAAGCAGGAAAGGTGACACATAGACCCATGTCCATTGCCTCAGTCCAGTCTTCATCCCTGTTGATAACAACTGACACCTGTGTCTTGAAGCAGATATGAGATGGCTACTCAACAGATGAATTTTGCAAAAAATTTGTTTCCAGTGAACGAATTTTACCAAATGTCCAAGAAGTTAATGGCTTGTGGTATATTGGTGATCATTTATTAATCCCTCACACAGGCAATGTCAGGGAACAGCTTTTTCATCTGGCTCATGATTCACTTGGTCATTTTGGTGCAGACAAAGCCTATGGATCCCTGAGAGATGCTTACTATTGGCCAAATATGTGTCATAATCTTGAATTGTCATACATCCCTTCCTGCGAACCTTGTCAGTGGAACAAGTCTCACACAATGAAGATTCCTGGCCCTCTACACCCACTACCAGTGCCTGACAAATGAGGTGATAGTGTGGCCATTGACTTCATCAGCCCCTTGCCCAAGGATAGTGGTTTCAATTGCATCGCAACCTTCACAGATAGACTTGGGTCAGATGTCCATATCATACCTTGCAAGACTAACATATCTGCAGAAGGCATGGCTCAGCTGTTCTTCGACCACTGGTACTGTGAAAATGGCCTACCCCTGGAAATTGTATCAGACAGGGATAAACTCTTCATCTCGAAATTCTGGCGTGCTTTGCATAGGTTAACTGGTGTCAAATTGGCCATGTCTTCTTCCTTTCACCCTGAAACTGATGGCACATCTGAGAGATCTAATAAGACCATCAACCAATCAATTTGCTACCACGTTGACAGGGCTCAGAAAGGTTGGGTAGCAGCCCTACCCAGGATTCATTTCAACATGATGAATATGATTAATGCGTCTACAGGTACTTCAGGCTTCCTCCTGCATCTGGGTAGATCTCCACGTGTGATACCACCTCTTGTTCCCGCATCATTTTATGTTGACATTCCTCCTGAAGATGTCTGTGCAGCTGAGATTGTTGCTCGAGTGATTACTGAGACACAAGGAGCAGTGGACAACTTGATTGCAGCTAAAGTTAATCAAGCTCATCAGGCTAATCGTCACCATGCACCGGATTTCTCCCCTGCTGTAGGGGATCGTGTTCTGTTGAATACCTACCACTGCAGGAGGGATTATGCACAAGGTCAATCTGGAAGAGTGGCTAAGTTTATGCCGCATTTTGATGGCCCCTACCTGGTGATGCATGCTAACCCTGATCTCTCTTCTTATACATTAGACATTCCCAACTCTCCTGCTCGTTTCAATACATTTCACATCTCAGAATTGTGCAAATTCATACCAAATGACAAGGATCTGTTCCCTGATCGTGACCACCCTCGACCTGGCCTGATTGTGACTGAAGATGGTTTGGAGGAACATATTATTGAAAAGATAATAGATGAACAACGCCGCAGTCGTGGATTCCAGTATCTCATCCGTTGGGTCAGTTTCTCAGAATCGGATGATGAATGGCTCCCTCATTGTGAGTTGGAAGATTGCGAGGCATTAGACATATGGTTGCGGAGTAAGGCTTCCACTGTTCCTTCAGAGAAGACATGTGCTGTTCTCGGCGATGGGGAGAGTGTAAGCCCGGTGGGCTCACATCAAACTACTGACAGTATGATTCCTCCTACAGAGCCACCGACACCACACTCGGAGTCACATTGACCCTGCTGCTCTTATATACCACCACAGGACCACATCAGATTATCACACATATATATAAATAGATTATATATATAGTAGAGTACACATCTTCTTTTTCTTGCTTCTTCCCCTCATGTTCGCTTTCATACGTACCCTCACTTACCCATTATGCCTGACCGCTCATCTCAATCATATACCCCGTTCCTGTTCTTAGGTGTGGTTCATGAGTTATCCAGTGAGGCTGCCTCTATATGAGCAGCCTTTCATCCACTGATGAAAGTGCTATGGGAACGAGGGAAAAAATGAGGAAAGCCATTTGCTCGAGAGGACATACATTAATCGTGATACTGGATGTCAATGTGAGGTCTAACAGCCCTCCCGCCTTCCTTTGACAGCCCACAAAAATAATTCACTTTGCTCTGAATGCTCCGTGACCAATGCATTGATGTTGTTCGAAGAGTTGAACAACAATTGCATTCACCTTCACTGTCTCTCTGCATAACTATAGCATCTTGTAGGAAGATTCATCGATTGGTCCTTCCTGCAAACAAGCTTTTGATTAGTAGGTCTGTGACAAATAACCAGGACAAACATGCTAGTAGCTCCCTGTATACCAGACTCTGCAGAGCATGCAGGAATGATGGTCGTAAGTATACTCTGAAGAAGAAATGGCATTTGACATAGAAAACTGAATGCAATAGTGATGACATACGTATGTAAGAACAAAGAAGCAGAAAGACAGTCAATGCCAAATTGCATTTCTTCATCATTACTACAAAGAGCTTCAAAAGAGGAAGTCCCTTCTGAGAAAAAAACCGGTCGCAAGTCTGGTCTAACATGACACACTGAAGTCTATGACTTTTTGAGGAGTGGTTGTTCGACCAACCAAGTGCCTGCCCAGGCAACATTTTGGTTTCACAGGTTAGGGAAGAGCAATATGAAGATAAGTGTTCTGGGAAAGTACCAATACCAATTTCAAGTTTTGTATGACAGCGATGGCTTGGAACACAAGTCACAGTCCTGGTTCGAGAACTGCCACAGTGAGTGGCCAGCAGCAAGGAAGGAACATTGAAGCATCACAAAGTTCGGAGAAAGACTCCTTGCCTAAGACATCAGATTCGGAAGAAGAGCTTTTGAAAGTACAAAACTGATGTGTACCCGCTTCTGACTAAATTTGATGTACATGGAACCTTAACCCTAAGGAAAGTAAGGTTAGGTTTACATTCAACTTTGTCTGGAGAGGGGACATACCATATATAAAGCACCCCCATCCTTCCTCAGGCCCCCACAACTCTCCCTCAAACCACCACTATCACTTGCTCTCACCCTTCCCAGCACCTTTCCAGCTATGCTCGCATTCATTCAAGCAAACCAAAGCCTCACTATTCATCTGTAAGCCTTTCTTCTGCTGTTCTGCTCCATGAATAATGGTGGTACAAAGATGATGCACGTCTGATGAGAAAACATGGTGGCAATGGCTACACAGCAGGGTAGAGAGCCACCAGAATTGCATTTATCACCCTCAACAGTGTTCCACACCCTGTCAAGGGCACCTCTTGTTATTCCTGTCTATAGCAATATGCAGCTGACCATGATGGTCCCCATTCGCTGCCATTATGCATCCAATCCCGACACGTCATATACCAGATATGTGCGTGAATATATCGTGTCGTCTTCACCACCTACCCTTGGTAAACTGCACCATCATCACATCCCACTGCTGTCACAGGCTGAGGGGGACATCCTGACAGTGGTACATCCACTGTTACGACCAAGCTGTGGAGACAAGATGATCAAGCTCGACTTCACTCACAGTCTGTTGGGTGTGCGTGTTTTTAGTCACGATGGCTGTGTGAATGAAGCAGCAATGAACCTGCCTCTTCCATCACTGGCCATTGTCCATCCAATGCTTCCATGGCCAGTAGTCATTCATAGGTTGAGCCATCAAGAGTGGGTGACAGTTGCCGACATCGTCGAGAACCTGTGGTATGCTCTGCAGATACCCATCCCCCTTCAAACATCATCATTGTCGCTACTCCTCGAAAATCAGGACAACACGCCCTTTACCAGCTGTTGTAGCATGCCAGATGGGGTGGAGCAAGAAGTAGTCCCTAGGCTGGTGTATTTGAGGGGAAAGACACAGTTTACAGGTCTCCGGGCTATAGGAAGCGACACATGAGAGTTACTGGTTGCGTAGGGCATGCAGGTCACTATGTGGCCATTGGGATATTTATTTGGGTTACTAGCTGGATACTTATCCAAACGTACCATAAAAGTTGTATCAGTTATGCTCAATGGACAATGACAAAGGACTACCTCAGGAGGAGCTTGTGGTGACATGTTCTAATGAGAGTGACAGGGCATGGAGGGGCAAAGATCATCGACTCGATGTTAGCAGCAACACTTATTGCATCCGCTTGATGACTCTTAACCCTAGCATCAGTAAGGTTAGGGTTACACTTCCTCCCATTCCTGAGCGCTTGAGTCGTCACCACATGCATCGATATTACTTCCTTGTATGGCTAGTATCACTGTGTTGTGAAGGGCTGTGTCTATACTATCTCACAAGTGCAACAATATCCTAATCAGTCCAGCTTGTGCCAAAGCACAAACCCAATGGCAGCATCATGTCATTCAATTTGCTCAGATTGATCCCATTACAGCTGACAGACCCTGCACTGAAGATTCTCTATAGAAATTTGTCAGCGCACCATGAAAGAGGTGAGAAATACTTATGCAATCAGACACAAAAAGATGATCCCACCACTACTGTAAGTAGGGGAAAAACTGATACCCCAATTGGGACCACAATGTTCTGGCCTTGACCTTGATACTGTGGCAGTATCTTTTGCCACCACCTTTTTCATAGTGAGATTCCAAAGCTAGTGGCTGGTGTTGGATGAGAGAAGACCGCGGTGAGTTGAATGAAATACCAATGGATGTATCCATGTATGGAGGCGAAAAGAGGGTGTGGCAAGGTGATTTTGTCGAGCCTATGCTTACTACAGGGGTAAGTAACATTGTTCCTTCAGATGGAAGCACGTTGATGGCAGGTAGGATGGGCGAGCAGTCTGTTGAAGAAGGAAACTGATTGCTATAGTACAATCTTATGATGTTAAACAGAAGTCGATGAGCACTGCTGACTTCATCATACAATCATCAAATCTATGTACTCATAAAGATTTCCATCCAACATTGTCTTCCCCTTCGTTATCGATATCGCATCGCAAAGGCACCACTGGACGTTTTCTCATTTTGTCTTGAACTAGAATACCTATTAGCCATAGGTGTAAGTTCTCAGAACTCCCGCTCACATTGAGTTGCAAATCACAAAGATTCTTGTGGTTCTGGGTGATTTCAATGCCCTAACTGCCACTGCAATGAAACAATGATGAGATTGCAAATGTGATAAAATGAAGACGAGTTGCTCACAAGGCATCAGTTGTGCATACTGTCTGTTAAATCCTTGTCCAGGCCCACATTGCTGCAGTGTATTGCAGCTAATGGTGAAAGGCAGCAGATCCTTCATGTTGCTTCTCCTGCTGCTGCCAACGGCTGTAAGGGTTGACCAAAGGTTATATGGCTACTGCACAAGGGCTTTTAGTGAGAAGCTCTATGAATAGATTACTAGGATTGACTTACCAGCCATTGTCTGTTGATCCTACTCTGCAGAACAAAGTCATGAGCCAAGCAATGATGGTGGTGACTATGGAAAGCCTAACAGTCGCACTTCAGATAAATGACATTCCAAATAGATCGGTACCTGAGTACCCCTGGGACACAATGGGTCACGGATTTAGGATAATTGGACATTATATCATATATACTAATATACATAATAACTAAAAGTATATTATATATAACCAAAATCATATTTGATTATTCACTGCAAGAAATATTAATATTAATAATATGCATGATGTAGGGTCTGTCTTCCTCTCCTATCTCAAGAAATATAATGCATCAGTACCACTCTCTCTTGCACTTGACCTGATTTTCCAGATGAAAAAAGACTCAGTCATCAGTCCTATCATCATAACTTTTCATATCTATCTGATTATCATATAACTGGTCTGATACAGAATCTCCATAGTGCAGACATATGGCCTGCTTGTTAGCCACTAACTCTGATCGACTTAGATCGTGCTAGGGTCCCTACTCGCACTTCGGTAGGAGATGGTCTAGCAAGTCAAAGGCGACGAAAGTCGATGGTACAGATAGTCACGAAGGACGGAGTTCGATGTTAGGTAGATTAAACCTTAGCCGAAGCTGGGGTTTAGCCAGCTGAGGCTCTTCTTTAAATACAGAATGATATGCTAAAAATAATACTGTGGGAAGCAGTCCATGATGATCGTTCTGGAGTAATCGTGCTGAGTAAGGAAAAAGAAACAGAATAGAAGAAAAGAAAATGAATAAACCGTAACATTACCCCCTCTCTAAGACTCGTTCGTCCCGAATGAGGCCTCTGAGCTCGCCTCCTCGCCTGAGGTTGATTGTCTTGATTCAGAATAGAATGACCAGGTATCATCGTCTTCATCGATGTCCGTGTCCCAGTTTTCCCATATGCATTCGAGGTTTTTGAGATTTATTTCGTCTTCCTCGTCAGAGGATTCGTCTGGGAGTTCGATATTGTCGATTACTTCGGAAGAGGGATAAGAGTCTTGTTGGGTATCGGAGTGTCTTATATTGGTGCACTCGGAAGAGTAAACGGTTTCGATGTCTGTGATGCAGGGGGTGTCGGGCTCGTGGTATTCGATTGGTAAGTTGCGTGGTATCTTGTCATCGATTCCGACAGTTTTCCCCTTGTCATTTACCATCCAGATGACTTTTCGGATGCATGCTTCATAGTCATTTACGAGTTCCTCGGCATTCGCCATTCCCGACCGTTTCACCCAAGAGTTCTCCTCTGATGGGTATCCTTTCCATTTGACCAGGTATTCGGTTATGGTCCGCCGGGATCGTCCTCGTCCTACCGCTCTATCCCTTTCTCCCACGATTTCTTCAATCTCGTACTCTTCTTCATCGTCAATTAGTTCTGGAGGTGGTCTCTCTGGTCGTGGTTGGTCTGGGAATTCCGGTGCTCGATAGGGTGTTAGCAGCGACTCATTGAATCGATTATGGATCTTCCAGCCGACCGGGAGTTTAAGTTCGTAGGTGGAAGCCCCCTTCTTTGCTATGATGGTGAAGGGTCCTACTCGTCGATCTCCGAGTTTTTTGGTCGGGCGTGGTAGGTTTAAGTGGGTGGAATCTAACCACACTTTATCGCCTACCTGGTAGTCGACTGCCGGTTGTTTATGCTTGTCATACGACCGTTTCATCCGCTCCGCTGCTCGTTCTAAGGACTCTTTCGCCTTTTCCTGTACCTCTTGGATCCCTTGGACCAATGTAGATGCGGCTGGTACTATGTCGGGACGTTGGGCAGTTTTGATTACCTGCCCGTCTCTCCCGAAAACGACTTTGTACGGTGAGAAACCTGTTGCAGAGTGTTTTCGATTGTTGTGAGTGAATGCCGCTAATGATAGCCACTCACTCCAGTCGTCCTGCCGATAGTTGACGAACATTTTGAGATATTTTTCAATCTCTTGATTGACTCGTTCGGTCTGCCCGTCAGTCTGAGGGTGATAGGCCGTAGATGGATTGCCGGTAACGTGGATCAAGGCGTAAAACTCCTTCATAAATTTCGACACGAAGATGGCTCCTCGGTCGGATATGACTTTTTCGGGCATGACCCCGTAGGGCACGTAGATTTGGTCTCTCAGGATCTTGGCGAAGTCCAAAGAGGTGAGTTCCTCGGTGCATGCGATGGGAATGATCGTCTTCGAGAATCTGTCAACGATTACTAGGATAGAGTCCGAGCCCTTGGAATTAGGGAGCTTGGTGATCATGTCGACTGAGATGTGGGTCCACGGGCGAGTTGGTATTTCATTTGGGTGAAGAGGCGCCTTCTTGGGTCGACGATCTGCCTTCGTTCGCTGGCAGACCTCGCATCCTTTGACGTACGTCTCTACCTCTTGACGCATGCGCGGCCACCAGTAATCACACAGTATGAGCTCTTTCGTCTTCTCTATCCCAGGGTGTCCTGCGGTAACATGGTCATGCCGAAGAGCAATGATTTTTCCTCGTAAGCCTCTGTCTCTCGGGATATAGATCCGTCCGTCGTACCAAAGGAGGTCTTGTTCTCTAGAGATGCCTCTTTCGTGATTAAGAGAGTTAGAGATTCCTCGATCCCACTTGCGGGGATCGTGAGTGGCCAGTTTAATTTCTTCGAGCATCTCTTCTTCCCGGGGCATCGTTAAGGCCCTAAAATGTTCGGCCTTTAGAACGACTATATCCTTGTTGTCCCCTTTTCCCTGGTCGTGATCCGCCCGTCGTGATAAGAGATCGGCCTTCCGGTTCTGGGCCCCCGGTTTGTGGTGTAGGGTGAATTGGTATTCGGCTAATTCTGTCACCCATCGAGCTTGTCGACGATTAAGCTTTTGAGGTTTGCGAAAGTACTGGAGATTGGAATGATCCGTCCAGATCTCGAAGTCTTCCCGTGCTCCCATAAGGTATTGGCGCCATTCCTCTAAGGCGATCATGATAGCAAGGAGCTCCTTGTCATAGATTTCGTAATTGCGCTCCATAGTTTGTAGTGCTTTAGAAAGGAAGGCGATGGGGCGCCACTTGTCACCCTGAAACTGAGATAGCACCGCTCCTACTGCCCCCTCGCTCGAGTCTGCCTCCACCCTAAACTTTCCTTCGTCAAGGGGAATGGCTAAGACTACGTCTTCGCGGAACAACTCTTTTAGTTTTTCAAAGGCCTCTTGCTGGGCCTTTCCCCACCTCCACTCTACTTTTCCCGTGAGCATAGTCAGCGGTCTGACATGCTTGCTGTAGTCCCGTATGAACCAGCGATAGAAATTGCAGAACCCTAGGAAGGACTGCAGCTCCTGCTTTCTTCGTGGAATCGGCCATTCTAATAGGCCTGCGATCTTGATGGGATCCATTCGGATCTTCCCTTCGCTAATTAAGACTCCCAGATACTCCGTCTCCTGGACCTCGAATTCACACTTCTCTGCCTTCAAGAATAGTCGGTGCTTTCGTAGAATCTGAAGCACCCTTTTCATGATCCGTCGGTGATCCGCCTTCGTTTGTGACGCAATGAGAATGTCGTCCAAGTACACCGACACCTCTCCTGCTGCTATGAGGTCCT